CATCTTGAGGGGGCTGGCAGGAATGAAATTACGGGCTTGAAGATAAGAAAGAAAATCGCGAGGGAAAAAAAAATAATAGAGTAAATTAGCATCGTGGTCTTAGAAAAGGACTAATTCAGTTCTTGGCACCTCACCACCGCTAGCAAGCAGGGATAACTGGTAGCTTCCAAAAATAGCTTGCTAATGCTGGGGGGCAGTGATGGAGGCCAACCCAATGTAGATAAATACAGAATTCTTGTTACTGCACTCCAAGAAGAGTCTTGTTTTCCTCAGTGGTAAGGAACGTGCAGCCACTGCTGTGGGTCACTAATTCATACTGCTCCAAATGGCAAAAGTGTGGGGACATTTTTCAGAATTCACTTAGTCCTTTTGCAGGGGTAAGCTTTGCTATGCAGAATGTTTTACACTGATTATCATGGCATCTGTACAGGTTTCGGTGAAGAACATTACAAAAGACAAACAAACCGTTGTTTCCAAAAGAGTACTGAGTTAGATGCACGTGTGAGGGGCAGCTGGCCAAAAGGTTGCAGCAATTCAGCTGTGAGTACTTTGTGTAGGAATACACATTACGATGCGCTTTTGAGTTGGTGGTCTTTTTATTTGATTTTGCATTAAAAAGTGATTAATAACTCCAGTCAGCGCATGGCAGATTAAGTGACTTAAGCGAAGTAAAGAAATTGTGTATACATTTGGGATGACCTTGAGGTAGTCTGTAAAGACAAGATTGTCTAAGAAAGGTGGCCTTGGTAGTTTCCTTTGTTTAGGTTGCACATCTGATAAGAGATAGTATTTGCGGCTTTTGGAGGACGATTTTTCAGTGTCTGTATATTTGGGACTACATCTGTTGCAGCAGCAAATTTAACATAAGAAGAAAACTGGATATACTGCATATGAACATCATCAATTTTTATAGATATAATACAATTTTACTGGAGTTTCTTTTCTCGCTGCCACATTGTACTGAAGCCAAAATTTATCTGTTTCATGAAGATGTTCAAATGTCCCTTTTAAATGCCTGTGGTTATTAATGTGGAGCCCAGTAGTGCTCAGATGGCTTCCATCCTGCATCACCTTGTCTTTCTCTGAGATACCCCTGACGTGATTCTGCCCATCTTAGGTGCAGTGTTTGAGCACAGGAAAAATATTTTCAGATATGTCTCTCAAAAAAGAAATTTGTTTCTGTCAAGACATTTTTCTCCAAATTTCAAAGTTTATTTTCATGAATAATTAAGAAATTAAGGAAAAACTAGAAACAGACAAACATGAAGAAAAACAAACTCAGAGGCAACACAAGCTTCTTATGACACTGTGTAAGATTTCAGATACAACACACGGGGATTCAAGCTCTGGCGATGAGACTTTCCGCAGCTCACCAAAGCTGTGCTTGGGATGAACGGTGAGGTACCTGGGCACGTTCAGACCCTCATCTAGCAGCAAAACCTGGCAATTCTATTAATGTTGCAGTAGTTGTGGAAAAAAAGGGATTTTTCCTTGCAAGGAAATAGGGAGCACGATGCTATTTGCCAACAGCAGACAGATGTTTTGGAGTTCTTTGGGCAGTTCTGCTCCCCATCCCCTCCCCAGGGATCCTTACTCTCTGCCAAAAGGGGTAAGGAGATGCCATTGCCTTGCGTGAAGCAGGCAAAAAATTACCGTTATCAGGCCATTGTCCCAGTTTCAGAGTACCTGCAAAGTGTGGAAATGAAGGAAGATGCAAATAGTGCATCCCATGTTCTCCCTGGAGAACCAACCCAAAGAAAGGACTGGGCACAGAGGCAGCAAAGGCTAAGGGATCCCTCTCTCAGACACAACAAACAACACTTCTGTGCTTGGTAGGGGCCTTTCCCCCTTGACTATGGAAAAGGAAATGTAGATTTGTGGATGGGGCTGCACCAGCCAGCACAGGAACACGCTGGCGCTGTTCCACCCAGCTGCCACATAGCAGAAGTGGATCCAGGCTAGGTTTCAACTGCCATGGGGCTTGGGGCTGATGCTCAGGGACTAATGTCCCCACTGCAGCAGTGCCCAGTTAGCATGACTACCTGCCCAAGTCCTTGCCCATGCTCTCAGGCTGGTTTTGCAGCTCCTGCTGAGGCTGGTGCTACTCCAATCAGACTGCTAACTGCCTCCACGCTGTCCTGGTGAAAGATAGCTTGTCTTTTTCTACGTTACAGGGCAGCAGCAAAAGCAAGACTACAGTGTAGACATACCACGTGTCTCTCAGACCCCAAGTGCAACTTTATTTAGACAGACAAAAATATAAATAGGTAAATAAAAAACAAATTTTCTGGGTAATTTTGGAGAGAGCTGCCTCGAGGGTCCATATTTCTCACTCGCACTCAACTAGGATACCTTCATTTTGCCTTTCTCAGGAGCTGCTTCATGGATGAGTGGCTGCTCATCCCCATTCACTGACAGGATCCTCCTTTCTGGTGGCTGCTCCTCAGGCTGGCGGGCGATCAGCAGACGACAAGTAAGCAGGATCCCAAAGACTAGGGCATGGGCGTAACGCTTGAGTGGATCCCCCACTAGCTGGTGGAAAAAGAGCACAGCCAGCACAAGGATGAGGAGGACAAAGTTGGCCACATCTTTGGGGCGACCAGGCACCAATGTCATGACAATACCACACGCGACTTCTAGGGCACCAATGGTCTTGCGGAGAAGGATGGAGCTGACTCCCATCTTCTTTAGCATGGGAAGGGCCCGCACGTAGCTTTTGTACGCTCGTTTCTGAAATCAAGCAGTAATAGCATAGAATGCCATAATGTGAGAAAGTAAAGGCAAAGGTGACTTCCATTGAAACAGACTGATGTACAATATGACCTGAAGATCCCTTCAATCATCACAGACCCCTCTGGGACAATATCCAATCTGTACCCCTAAAGCTTCAGTTGGAGGGATATTAACACCATCAACCTGCAATTCCCCCTCTATAAGCTGTTGTCTCCTCACTGGAAAAAGAGTTCTGCAATCTAGCACCCATCTTTGGAGCTAGGACGTGGCCAGGTGTACCTTCTCCTGAAATCTGAAGTTACAATTGCTAGAATTAGCAATGCAGAACTATGTTGTTAAAAAAAAGTACCTAAGAGTATCTTGTCCTTTGTAATTAAGTAACATACCTAGTCCCTGCAAAGCAAAGGCACAGCAAGTAAAGGCAGAAGTCTCTTTCCACCTCAAAGAACCTTGCAACACCCCAGTGTTTATGGGCAGTACAATCTTAGCACGGGACTATACATCAAACCTGAGATTCACCAGCCCTATCCTGTGCTTACATACCTTGATGATACTTTCTTTCCTCAGACGAAAGCAAGCTGACATTTGACATCCTTTGCTCATTGGTTTGTGCTGGATTTAGAAGCAGCGTAAGTTGCACGACTCAGCCTCCTTACACAGCTGCCTCATTGTTTCAGCAAAGAAACCACGTCTGTCCTTACACATGTTCAAGTTCTTGCATTTGAACATTAGGTGCTTGTGGGCTTACCATTTGTTTGGGTTTTTTTAAATCAAGTATTTCCTTTTTTTTAATATTTTAATGAAGGTCCTAGTTATTGGAGGCACTGAAATTATTTCCACTTACATGTGAGTATGTTATCCCTGCAGATATTCTTGCCATTGTGCTCTCTGTTTTCTAATCAGGGAGAGGGAAATGGAAGCCAAATCTCAGGTACAGAGTTGTTCAGCTCTCACAGGTGCTGTTCAGATTGTAGGTTTACTTCCATGTGGTTTTGGAAATGTGCACTACAGGCACACAGAACTTCCCCACTTCTCTGTAAATTTTGCTGCTTTCTTTTAAGAAGAGCTGACATTTCGCATGTGGTTAAAAATATACAGCATTGTAATTTTTGCTACTAAATAACTGAAGTTCTCATGACACATTTATGCTAGGTGTATGCATTGTAAAGATGCATTTTAAACCTTTAGTGAATAAAACCTCTCCTCAGAGCAGAGTATTTTTAAACAGTTGTGTAAAAGATAGCTTTATGAAGAATTGTGCTATCAGCATGTCCTAGAGTACTCTGGTATTTTAAGTATTTTCATAAACTAGTGTGTCTGTTTTTTGCTGAATGAAAAACTGCAAGTATGGTGTTGTACATAGATGGGAGGTTCTCTGCTCAGGGCAAGAAGCCATGCTTATTGATTGGCAAGATCAGGTTTCTGCTGTCTCCATCACGACAGACACCCTGGTATGCAAGACAGCAAAAGCATGGAAAGCCTAATGACCCATGAACATGTTACAGTATGGACTATTACGAATGATGGTGCTGTGTGGTGTCTGAAAGCCTCTGCCTTGTCTTTGTAAAAACAGACTTCATCGCTACCTATAGGCCTGACTCTTGGTAAAGCACAAAGGGACAGAAAAGCAAAACATTTTACAGAACAAGGATTTTGCAGTGCTTATAAAGTCTCAGTGCTTTTTTCTGTCCCTTATGTAGCAAAAATGTAACAGCTTTGTTTTCCAGGCATTTTATCTCAGTCTCTTGCTCCTGAGTTTCTTCTTGTTGAATCTTCTCTGTGAGATCCCTGTGCTGGGCTGCAGACAAGGCACTGCAATTCAGATGTTATTTGAGAGTGAAGGAAAAGCAGCTGGGCAGGTGGAGCAAAGGGAGAGAACAGAATGTGCTGGAAACTTCCAGCACGACTTTTCTAGGGGCACAAAAATTATACCAATGCTTTTCAGCCCCTGCAATAAATATAATAGGGGGAGGGGGTGGCGGCAGGAGAATAAACAAACATAGACAAGGAAGCAAAACGTGGCAGCCAGTCCCTCGCCTGCCTGCAGCTCGCAGCCGGCCAAGCTCTGCAGCAGGGCTGGCCCTGGGCAGAGAGGAGCAGACTTGCTCACCAGCTGAGAAATGCACACGGTGACTTCTCCTTCCTCTCCTGACCCCTTTCCCATTAGGCAAGAGGAGAAGCGGCTCATTTTCCAGGCTAAAGAGAATAACAAGGTGACTATTAATAATACCACCTTCTCCCAGCTAAGAATCTCAAAAGCATTTCAGGGTCATGAATTAATCCCTGCACAAGTCTGGTGAGGTAGGGACAGTCAGGCTACATGCCTGGCACTTCTTCAGGCTTTGCTTTTCAGAGACCCATCTTTCTGCAGGCATCAGTGTGCTCTGCTACCCCATCCTCCTTGCCTCCCCTCCTCGTCCTTAACCACAAAAGGTTTCTCCACGGACAGGCTCAGGTGGAGCCCAGGCGAGGGCCACCAGGATAACCTCGACAACTGCGTACTGTTTGGTTTTCTCCATGCCCATCAAATAAGGAGACAGATAAGCTTCTTCCCTCTCCCTCCCATCGCTCAGGGCTCCAGAGCAGTCACCCTCCGTGCATCCCACTGCAAACACTGCTGCTGCCGCAAGGTTGAGGGGAGAGAGCCCTAACGCGTCTTCCTCCATGCTGCCACTGCCGTACTCACCATCTCATTGTAGGCATCTCTGCTGAGCCGAGGGGTCAGTTTGATGGTCCCCATAAAGACGAAGAAGAGCCCCAGGGCCACCGAGAGGGCGATGATAGTGACAGTCCTGGGAGATGCCATGGAGCCTCCGGGAACCGGTCCTAGCGAGGCCTTCTCGCTCTGGCTGCCAGCCCGGGCGGGAGGTAGCCAGTCACCATTGAAGGGGATGAGGAATAAAGCTGCAGAGGCAGCGAGGATGACAGCGGGAGGGGGATTCAGCCTCCTCCGCGGAGCAGCCTCTGGGTCCTAGCGCCCTGCAGCCCCGCGGCCAGAGCCAGCCAGCTCCAGCACCTGCTGAGCGACGAGCATTGCCAAGCTCCTGTCGTTAAGTCATCCTCTGTTTCCTTGCACGTTCCATAAATCACCCCCAGAAAGCCGAAAGTGAGCCATTTCTAGGGATGAGGGATGGCAGCCAAGTGCACAGCGCAGTTGCTACTGCTAGTCCCTCAGTACTAGTGGGACAACAAGGACGTGTTAGCAGAGGGCTCATGAGTAACCTGCTATGGAGCAAGAGTGGTCGGAGGTCTCTTGTATATAGGTGGCTTTCAGTTTCAGATGCTCAGAACTAATGCACAGCAAACAACGTAATGCTTACTATAGTTGCCCCAGAAAAGCAAAAAAGATGTTTTGCCCCTGTGGCTCTCCTGGAACCTGAAGCCCAAAAGAGACAGTGGGGCCACTGTACCACCCAACCCCACTGCAGATAAAACCTGTCCTGTATGTTCAGCTCTCCAGAGACTAGTGGAAAGGTTTCCTGGTCCTTGATTACTTTCTGATTTAAAGTCATTATCTCTCCCCCTCTAATTTGCAACAAATTTCCTTTTGACAAAAGCATAGCCAGGCTAAGCAGAAATCCATTCAGATCTTGCAGCAAGAACCAAAGGTGTAATTACACAAGACAGAACTGCTGGAAAACTGCATCCCTCACTCGAAACTGAAAACAAGAGGCTGTAACAGTGTACAAAAATCTCACACACGTGGGACAGTACAAGAGTGACGCTTCCTATGCCTGTCAGGAATCTCCCCATCACCTCCCTTTATGGTGTAGTAAGTCTCAGGTCCTAAACCCATGTATTTTAAGCCCCCATGGCTTAAGAACTGGTGGTTGTTGTTGTTATTCCAAGCTCATTTTTCCTTAGACTGGAGTTAAAAGTCTGAAAAATACAGGCAGCTCTCCCTGTTTCCTTGGGAGTTTATCAGTCTTCATTCACCCAAATCAGATAGGGAACTCCTCTTTTGGAGGAAAGAGTCAAATTTCACAGCCTGACTGTAGAAATGTGTTCTGCTACTGGCCTAGAAGACCAGGATAAACCAAAGGTAACTTCATTACAACATGAAAGTAAAAATTAAAAAACAGAAATAAAAGGAGCCCTTAAAACAATGTGGAGTTCACAAAACACAAGGGAACTCTACTCGCTCAGACCTACCTCCAGGTTGTAGCAGCTCCATCTTTTGAAGAGCTGGAGAGAACTTCGTATAACATTGAGGTTCACAGCTTGCCAGTCAGTGAGCATGGCAGGACAGATACAAAACACATCAGATTTTTGAACTGGCTATTGCAGAGCAACCTGATGAGGAAATAATTTGTTCCTGCT